AATAAAGGCAAATCATGTTTTGGGTGTACTATTCCTTTTATAAGAGGGGTAAAATATGTACATCTATCATTTGTGACTGAACGGGGCACAGTGGCTGTAAAAGAAAAGCTAATCCATAAACATAATGTTTTTTTTTAATCCAAATCAAGATCACTAAAAGTAAAACATGCTGCAGTATTTTTGCAGACGCTGTCTTCTCTCTCCTTGCAGGATCTTTTTTCGCGAAGGCTTTGTTCACCAGGAGTGAAGAGGATGAGGATAATGAAGAGCAGCTGTCGTTTAAAAAGAACGACCTGCTGATGGTGAGGGACACGGGACAGGACAGCAGCTGGGAGGGCACCATGCTCTCCACTGGAAAACACGGCCAGGTGCCCGTCGACGCCATGCAGCCGCTGCCCTACCCCTTCTACCAGTAAGTTCCTCAGGTTAGCCACTCATAGACAAAACACTTTATATATGATCACATCAGATTTAATGAGCTTTTGGTGTAGTTCAGTAAAAAAAAAGGAATTTATGCAGAAGTTGGCTCGACCTTATTCTTTTCTACTTCCTGTTTGGTCAGGTGGTTCCTCAGGAAGTATCCAGGCCATGCTGGATGCTCACCAGTAGAAAAGGAACTGTTTGAAAATGAAATTGGTAAAGTTATTCTGCATAAAAACATGTGATTTCATATATTTAACATGATCGAATTAATTTACCTCCCTGTTTCTCGCCTGTTTATATCATCTCCACTAATCTAATCCGTAATCCGATCCTTATAATTCTGATCCCTCAGTGACCGGTTCGTGTGAAGCCATCGTGGACTACAGTCCAGCCGGGCCAGATGAGCTGCAGCTGAACCAAGGCGACGCTGTGGAGATCCAGGGCCTGCTGCTCCGCGGACTCACCGTCTTCATAGGAAGACACGCATCCACAGGACGCACTGGATTCGTTCACAGAGCCCATGTCAAGCCTCTGAACACCACACCTCTGTGAGATCCATGGTTTTATCTTCACAAGCTCCAACGTGACGTGAAAATAGGGCTGCGAGATACGGCCTTCAATTCTCATCACGATATTTTGTGGTACTATTGTGATAAAATTGGCGATAAAGATAAATGTTTCGTCATTTTAGAACTGTTTAGCTGTGACTGCATGTCTTAGCAATCAAAGTCTTACAATTACATATAATTATTTTGAAAAAAATTAAAAGAGGCTTCCTAAACATAGCAGTTACATTAAAATGATAATTTTTATCAGTTACACTGGCAGCCATTCAAAATGGCCCGAATGGGCGCGTCAGTGACTGAATTACAGGGTCTATTTCTATTAATTATATTTTATTCTACTGCTGTGAAGTGAAAAGAAAAGGATTTTTTTTCCTGCAAAAATGGCAAAATGTTTAATCCATTTTTAACACCATTTTCAAACAACCTCATTTTATTGCAATAAAAGAGTCTTTAAGGTTAAACTACCGGTTTTAACCATCAGAGACAGTTTTTTGCTTTTTTTTTTTACAAAGCAGCCTAATCTCAGAATGCAGAGCATCTGTGATTTGAAAGATTAAGAAACTTTGTCAGATTTTTATCTTTTAAAATGAATTTAATTAAGGCTGAAACAATTAGTTGGATTAATCCCGATTAACTATTCAACCAATCTGGTAATCTAATCACTACTGAGACTAATTGTACACAGAATCTAAAACCTGGCATTTTCTGAAAGAATAACCGACTTACAGCAAATATGGAATAATATACAATTCTTCTATTAAATATTAACTTTTTTAATTTTTTTAATTCATTTCAGGCAATTTCATGCTTTGAAACATTCAAGTGAATGGCAGTT